CAATGGGGTGTAGAGGAGTTGATGCTGAATTCCACTGCAATGAAAAAGTCTTTGCATTGAATCTGGTTAATCACAACTTTAGAATTCCAAAATAAAGCAAGCTCCCCACTAAGCCCAGAGGGGTTAATAGTAATGCACCTGCTATCAAAACCTAACTTCTTGCTAACAGTATTTACAAAAGCTGAAGATTTCTTAGTTTCTGATAAAAAAGAAAGACTGGGTGATAAGTTTTAAGTAACTCTCTGATTTGGGAAATTGTAGAGGGCCCACCCAGCCCTGTACAATTCAACACCAGAGCTAACATGGGCCACTTGGGTGCCATTCAAAGCTGGCAACCCCCACCTTTTCAGTTGAATCTTCAGGTATGGCTTGATCCTCCCCCTTAGAAATTTTGGAGTTTTTTGATGTCACATGCATAGTTCCCTCACCAACAGCTCTCTTGAAACCTATCACTTTATCAATGACAATTGGTATAACTGGTTCTCTCAGCAATCTTCCTGATTTGGTGCCCAACCTCTTCCAAGTCTTGGGATTAGGGACAGAAGAGGTGCCTGTCTGCTTGTGTGGTTTAGAAAGAGCTGGAGGGTTGTGATCCTCAATTTCCATAATAGCAGAAGACTCCACAATCTGTAACTCCGGTTCTGATGGCCCTTTTTTCTGAGACGGGGCTTTGGAGGATGAAGATAGGGAGGCCACTACATCAGGCTTATCAGGAGATGGAGAACTAATCTGAGCATTACTCCCCTACACCTGTAGAGAGAAGATATCCTCCCTAACTGGAATAATTTGATAACTCTGGTCAGCTTGACTCGTTGATGCTTTGTGTGATTGCCTTTGCTCAGAATCAGACTGTGAGTTTGGAGATGGGGAGTTCCTAGAGCCAGAGATGTTGGTGCCCACCCATTTCGATCCCTCAGATGCTCTCAGCCAGTCACCATATTGCCCTTCCCTCAGTGAGTTGTTTTTGATATCCAGAAGCCTCTTAGAGCACGTTTTATCCAAATGCCCAATTTTGCCACAGTAGTGACACAGATTAATCAATTTTTCGTACTTAAAAAATCACACAGGCTACCTGATCCCCCAATCTGATTTGAGTAAACCTGGGCAATG